ATGGCTGTCGGCTCCCTGCTCTAACCCGGGGTGTGAGAAGTGGGGGTGTGAGGGACGTTGGGCAGCAGCCCAGCAGGTGTGCACTGCAGCTGGCGGCTGGGCTGTTAGGTTAGCAGACAGGGCGGTTTTATCTGGACAGCTGTGTTGGTGAAGAAATTGGGAGGAGATCCTACAGACGGTGAAAGCTTTTAAAATCTGCTGTGCCGCAGTATCCTTGCCATCAATTCTTTTTCCCTCTTTTATGGTCCAAGGAGGTAGAATTGTGTTTAGGTTGTCGTGGGAAACAGAAACAGGGAACTGGACCCTTGGCTAGTAAGCAAGGTTGATCACATGCCGCTCAAAAGTAGAAGTATGAAGCTGGTTAAATAAAACCCCCTTGAGACGTGTGAGACTTAGTCTTGTTCATAAAAGCCTGTGAAATTGAATTAAGATCAGTGCACTTAAGAACAGCTGATAGAACTAAAATGTATTTTGGACAAATTTCGTTTAATAAAATGTTTTTCTCACCAAGCCAACTGGAACTGTCGAGGAAATGAGCCCTTCTGGATAATGGGGTTTCCCAGAGAACTCTCAGTTTACCTCTCTGAATTATCAAAACATGTACTTTTTGACTCGGGTGCAACTCTTATCTTCTTCAACAAAATATGTGGGAATTAGATATTTCTTAATACTTCATGCCATTATCCTACAATGCACATAATGTGGCATATAGTGTATGCTAACAAGAGATTGGAGCTTTTTGTCACTACTCTTAATGACCCCAAATCATGTCGGATTTTTAAAAACCTGGTCTTTATAATTTTTGTGTGTGTCTTTTCTGTCTGGGACTGTACCCCTCCCATACAGTAATATGTTCCTTCTGATACTGCATGGATTTAGGAATGAGAAAACAAAGCTTATTTAAATAACATATAATTTGAAAGTAAGTGGGACCTGAGATTGGCACATGGGGCGGGGGTCTCTTGTAAGATGAGCCCTGTTTATGCGTGAACTTCTTGGTAGGACTGGGATAGCGCGAGGCCTCTGCACGTCCCTTTCCTAGCTGTGTTCTTTGGAACTGAACCTGCCTGGTGAACTGGTTACCCGGATGAGTGAGGCGCTTCTGCTCAAACTCTGTGCACCTCAGTAAAGCCACTTTAGGCTTTTTGACAGAACGAGGACAAAGGTGTGGTGGAGCGAACCTATGTTTAGGGCACAAAGGCTAATCCTGCCACCTAGGCCAGGTGACCTCAGGTGAGTCATTCAACCTCCCACAGCCCTGACTTCCTTACCTGTAAATGTTTGCAAACGTGCGGAGCTGCTGTGATGATCAGGTGACGTCCATATAAAGTACTCGTCCCTGGGCCTGGCACATCATGCTCAGTGGATGTTGCTTTTCTGCCCCCCTCACCAGCTTCTTGCAGACAAGGCCACCTTGGAATCAACGAGGCTGTGACACGCGTGGAACTGGGAGGCTGGGGTACTACTCTCTGGGGGTCACATCCGACCGGTCACCTGATGACCGTGCGCCTCAGTCTCCTCTAAAGTGACAGGGCCAGATGAGCTCTGTCATGCTTGCTTCCTGCTCGTCTCGTCTTACATCCATGACATTGCACAAGGGGAGAGTTCGCACCCTGAAATAAGAGGATTTTGTCAGTAAGACAGTTGGCACGAGGTGTGGCACGAGGCATCCTTGGCAATTAAAATCTGCCTCTGTTCACCTCTCACGAAACTTATCTCTGATACTCTCTTCACAGATTTCATGTGCTCACTTAAAATCATTTAAGTTCCTGCTCCTTGCTAATAACATTTGGGAGGGTGAAGAAAGATCTTTTATTCCAACCCACTTTTTTGAGTTCCTCACCATTTCTGAACAAGGAAGTGATGCTGCATGACACCGGCATGGGGGCTGGGGGTGGGGGTCACATGGGGTTCCCACAGGCCAGCTTGCCGCCCCCAGCTTGGCCTAGCCAGCCGAGCAGACGGAGTGAGTTCCTGGTCACATGCTGACCCTCTTCCCCTCCACCTTGGCTTAACTAGCCTGAGGACAGGCTGGGGAAGGGGCTGGGCTGCAGAACCCCCAGGATATGGGCTGGTGAGGTGCTCAGCTTCTGGGAGAATTTTATGTTCGAGCTGATGGGACGGGAATGATCCCCCTTTCCCTTTCTTCACTTCTTTTGAGTCAAGGCCTAGAAAGTCCTAATGCCTCAGAGCCAACACTAATTCATCTACCAGAAGCAGATCCATCTTGAAATCTTTAGATTTCCCTTTATCACTTGGGCTCTTAATGAGTGGCTCTGCCCATTTGGGTACTGGCTTGCATTTTGTTAGTGGGATGTTTTGTCAGGATTAGAGTTTGGTCCAGGAGAGCATCATGGGTTCCAGCTGGATGGTGGAGGAGGGGGTTGATCCTGTGTCTCCTTCAAACCCACTCTAAAATGGCCCACCAGCAGCAGTGACTCCTGGTGGAGGAAACTGAGCCTTAACATGTAGGAGGTGGGCCTCACTGGCTCCCTTTGAAGCGGGAGCAGTAATTGCAGCTTTGATTGGGGCGACTTCCCTGGTGGGTTGGGCTGCGCTGGGGCTCGCCCGGCCTGGCCCAGCCTCCACAGTCCCCCAGTGAAGCCTTAGATGTGGGAAGTCTCCAGTCTCCGAGCCTCATGCCTGTGGTTTCTTGAAAAGACTCTTGATTTGACCAGTTTTCTATCTGTAAAGCAACACTGTCAGACCCCCATTTCTGTCATTTGGAGGTAAGACCTGGTTTGCCCGGACAACGCTGTGTTTTTAGGAGCAGCCGGATTCATGCTGCCTTACCTGGTAGCGAGACAGTTTCTTTGCCAATTTATTTAAGTAACTCGTTCCACTCTTAGGAAAGCATCCCGGGTGGGTACAAGTTGCCATTTTTGGCTGACAATTAATTGTACAGAGGATTTCTGAAGCCAACTTTTCAGGAGGATTTGTAAGAGGACACTGAAATAGTGAAATAACCGGGGGGAAAAACGTGAGACTACCTATAGACTACCTTTATTAGGAGGTAGCGAGATTCTTTCCAGGGAAGTGTATGTTATCTTGGTGACACATGGACCCTCTGGACAGCCCAGTTTAACAATTATGTTAATAGTATTGTGCTCATCCCAAGAAGGGAGGAGAAGGCCCTTTTGGGTAAGGTGAGAAGGGTAAAGGATGACTTGGTGCAGGGCGCTGCAGACTGGCAGGGATGAGGCTCTGCCTGAGAGTGGGGGCCTCAGCAGGGCCGCAGAGGTCACCTTTACCGTGTGACCTTAGAGTCAGCCTGGGGCTGGGGGTAGAACAGATCCCAACCGAGGGACAGTTTGTCTTCATCCAGGAGACATGCCTGGCCAGTCCAGTCTGAGTCACAGCACTTGTCTCCAGCTGCTGTGAGCGCCTAGCCCAGGGCTGCAAGGCCCTTCTCTAGCCAGAACAGCAACCTGGAGCAGACCTTTGAAAACCTGTGGTTCAGAGGGACAGTGTAACGGGAAGGGCGGGCGCCCTCACCACTGCGGGGGGCCTGCTCCTTTCTCCTGGCCAAGGGGGGACCCAGCGGGGTGAAGGACCCTGTACCCTGCTTAAATTGAGGAAACCACAATGTCCCGGTATGTGTTTTCCTGTTAAACAGGGCAAAGGGAATTTCGCAGGAGAATAGGAACTGAAATTGTCATTGAAGACCTCCTCAGTTGACAGCATTCCGTGGCTGATTTCCTTCTGTTTTGTTTTTGTTTGTTTTATATTTTTCAGTAACTACCCAGATGCACAGTTCTGATGAGTCATTTTGAGGGACAGCACTGGCAGTGGTGCAGTCAACTGCAGAATAATAGCTAACACATTTGCGGGGCTCTCCACGGGCCACGTGCCTTCTGCGCACCTGGAGGGCGTTAGCCTCTCCTGCCCGTCACAGCTCCCGTCTCTCAGACCACTCTCCTTCCGTGAGCAGCAATTTGCAGGCTGTAACTCACCAGCCCAAGTTCAGTTTTCATTATTAAACTATTTCAAAGCTTCCTTTTCCTCTAATACCTCTTTTCCACTCAAATAAAAAGCATCAAGAAATCCACTATTAGAATTAAAAAAAATTTTTTAAGGCAACGTCTGCTAGGACAGCACAAGCACGAAGGGTTGGGAGCCACCTGAGACTGTCGGGGATCCAGGTGGAGTGTGAATGAAGCAGCCTTCCTAAGGTCAACGCAGAGGAGGCAGATACTCCGGGGAGAAGGGACCAAACTTGGGGATGCTTTCACTTTCCCTTTGTCTTTGTCTCATCTTGGTACAGTGTTAGATTTTATTTTTAATTGCTTTTTTAAAATCTCAGCTTATTTAAGCTTTTGGGATTTGAGCATTCTCCTTTTTGAAAGTCATTATCAGTTATATCGAACAACAGTTACTTAAATACTTGTCGAGAGTACATTCCAAGGCTAACATTAGAGATTCTTGTTATTATGAAGGGAAAAAAGTCTTGAGAATTGTAAAACCTCAAGTAAAATTGGAGAGGTCTACGCATTGGACTGAATATGGTGGGCAGAGCACATCCCGATGGCAGGGGGCTTGCCATGGGCGTGCGCAATGCCAGGCTGATGGGAGTACAGTTTAGTCCGGTGCAAAATCATACAGCTACTCCCCAGAGTGGACTAAAAAACCCAAGCACTTCAGATGACAACCCTTTATCTGATCTGGCCGATGCCCACCGTTAAAATTCATGCCTATTCATTCCCTCTGGATGTTTTTCAAACTATTTTTTTTTAAACCATGATCCAAGGTATTAAATGTGTTTCACATCATAACCTGTACATACATGGAACCAAACTACATATTTGAATAAATATTCTCTAACGTAGTCTGGGGGTTTGGGGCTACCATGGGGCAGTCCGTTTCAGCCATCGCCAAACCAACAGAGTGGATTAATTTAATGCAGACATCTTAAGGCACGTGCTATATGCAACAGACGTTAACATCTCTTAAAGGCCTGTGGCAAAGTCACATTAACAGCATGTCATGTGTTCCTTCCTGAGGTGGAAAACGAAGTTCATTCCCAACGTGCAAAGCCAAGGCAGCGGCCCCGGGGCCTCTTCTGGAGATGGAAGCTTGTTGAAACCCAGACTGTCTCCACGGCTTGCCCAGTCGACCCCAAAGGAGAACTGACATCAACTTCACCCTGAGGTCACTGCTAGACACTGATCCATAAAGACAATCACTGCCAAACCCCCTTTCATCTACTACAAGAGCCAAGTTCCAAAATAAAGCATAAAAGGTTTTTTAAAAGAAAATGAAAAAGCACATGAGAATGCTAGCAGGCCCTGGGTCGGCTAGCAGCTTGCCTCCCCTCATGTCTGCCGCGCGCTTCCCAGAGCATCTAGCATCCACACCTGTAACCTTCGGCAAGGACGGCAGCTTGGCCGCCTCCGCCTGCCCTGAGCAACTGTTGCCGGTGGCCAGCACATCCATCAGCGTCCCGGTGGGGAACCTGTGGAAGAGTTCCCTCTTTGTCTCCATTCTTCTTTCCTTCCTTCCTCCCAAAGCTTTTATTTAACAATGCAAAAGGATGAATCTTACGTTTGCTTTTTTTTTTTTAAACTTGAATTTTTTTTAATTTACACTTTTTAGTTTTAATTTTCTTGTATATTTTGCTAGCTATGAGCTTTTAAGTAAAATTCAAAGATCTGGAAAAGTTTGAAATATAAACGAAATGAAAAGAAGCCGCCCTTTTTTTTGAGCGACATTTTGTCTCTAATGGCTTCTCTGTGAATGACCTGTACCAAATAGTAGCCTCTGTCTTCTAAGGTGTTCGATGGAGCTAAATAAATGTAACGGCCCAATCCACTCTGTTGGTAGCAGTTGGCAGTACTATTTCATTTGATTTTTCTTCTGATCTGTCTTTTTTTTTTTTAATGGTAAACCTTAACAGAAACTTTCAGTATGCCGGTTTGCAGTGAATTTTCATTTCTTTCCTTCTTGCCCCCTTCTTGTAAAAAGCCCAGCACTTGAATTGTTATTACTTTAAATGTTCTGTATTTGTATCTGTTTTTATTAGCCAATTAGTGGGATTTTATGCCAGTTGTTAAAATGAGCATTGATGTACCCATTTTTTTTTTAAATAGCAAGGCACAGCCTTTGCCCCAAACTATCATCTAACGTTTGTCATTCCAGTTTGAGTTAACGTGCTGAGCATTTTTTAAAAGAAGCTTTGTAATAAAACATTTAAAAACAAAGTCTCATTTTTATAAAAGAGTGACGTTCCTGATAACCTGGAGTCGGTAAATGGTGAACTAAATCCCGAGACCAGGCCAAAGCAGTTTGTCCGCACCTGACGGGCACTGCTGGTTTAGCCTTCTCCAGGGACATCCGACACCTGTGGTAAAGCAGCACCTTCCCATCTCTAAGACATGTGGTCCTCAGAGTTACCGGTTCGGCGTGGGCCCCACCACCTCCTTCCCAGGTGTAGACAGAAACCAAGGGCATAGGAAAGGCGAGTGTCACCAGGACTCACGGGATTGACGCCCCTCCTCAGCATCGGGAACCCCCAGCTGTCACCTTGCTGCCGTCCCTGCACGTGTGCCACAGGTGCTTTCCACTTTGTAGCTCACAGGTCCTCAAGCTGGGCTCCCCAAATCAACGTGCCCCTGTGCTGAAGGAAGGTTTTAACTTTCACTTGTCTCCCCAAAGTCAACATTTCCCCAATTTTTGAGTTTGTATTCTATAAGTCTCTCTTAAGCTTTTGTTATACTAGCATACAGGTTGGTATCTGAATTAGCCAAAAAATAGATATATTTTACATGTAAAACATGAATATTTTATGGTCTTCCACACTTGTTCCATCCAGTGAGCTAGCTTGAGGACCATCGATGCCACTGGTCTAACTTAAATCTCTTGCTGGAATTCCAGTTCTATCTCCTTTTTTCAACCTTCAATACAGCTGGGGAACAGCTGGCTACCATACTTATAATAACCCTCCACATACTGTACTTGAAGATTGCCATTAAATCACCCCTCAAGTTTCTCTTCTCCAGGCTAAGTAATCCCAATTCCTTGAACCTTTCATCATCAGTCCTTTAATCATTTTCATTACTATCCTCTGGAACCTCTCCAGTTCCTCTTCATTTAGTCCTAAACTTGAACCAGAGGAAAATGTCTATTTTATGTTAAAGGGACCTACTTGTTATAAAGGTTTCATATTCATTTGAAAATTATGAATTTTTTTAATGCACATGAACCAAGTAGTTATAACTGTCTGAAGCCCCCACCATGCTCTTTCCAGGAATTAACTAGAAAATCCAACAACATTTTATAGGAGGTGACATTGAAGTGTTCATTTTGGGGGGAGCAAAAAGGTTGTAGCAACATCGATTGGCTCTTCTGGATCTTAGAAACTAATGAATGATAGTCTGTCCATTAAGTAAACAGCAAGGATATAAAACTGAAAATCAAGCCTTTCCCAGAGCTCACCAAGCCCTTTCCTTGGTTCCTCCTCTTCCATTTTTTTTTTCTAAGATTTGTTTTTTGGGGGGAGGGGGAATTGGGGGAAGGGAACAACCAAGTTGTTGTCCTTCGATCTTAGCTGTGGAGGGTGCAGCTAGCTCAGCTCCAAGTCCAGTTGCTCTGCTCAGCTCAAGGTACTGTGTTCAGTTAGTTGCAGGTGAGCATAGCCACCATCCCATGTGGGAGTCGAACCAGCAGCCTTGTTAAGAGCGCACGCTCTATCCCCTGAGCCACCTAGGTGGCAGCTCAGCTCAAGGTGCTGAGTTCAGTCTTAGTTGTGGGCGGGCATAGCCCACCATCAAACAGGCAGTCTTGTTAGGAGCACGTGCTCTCACCAGCTGAGCCATCCCGCCACCTGTTGGCAGCTCAGCAGCAGCTCAGCTTGGGCACAGCGTCACTGGCCCATGTGGAAATTCAACCCATGACCCTGTTGCTCAGAGATCGCACTCTTAAGCTGACTCTTAATCAACTGAGCCACTCAGCTGGCCCCTTTTCTCCATTTTTATGACACAAAAAATGAGTGAGCAGTGTTGAAAGAAATGGGCTGTTTCATGGTCTCTGAACCAGTTGTTCCCTCCCCAGACTCAGTCCCCTCCTCACTGTCTATACTGCTTTCCGAGTAATTGCCCAGATAATGTCGTCACTGCACAGTGCTCATTCCTGGCCCATTCTGCCCCAATTTCGCTTTCTGCAGGCAGCAGTTCTGGGGAAGGATTGTCGAGAGCCCCCTACAGGTACAGACCAAGAGACGCCATCCTGGGTGTCTGGGCAGAGGACTCTCCCCAGCCCCTGCTGCTGCTCTTGGAGTGACTTGGCTTTCTTCCCTGCAGCAGGCTCAGGGCTGAATCCTATGCCAAGAGGAAGAGAATGGGTCTGCCTTTTTTCTCAGAGCCAGGCTCTGAGGTCACAGCTGGCACACTAGTCCTTACAAGGGGGTGTTTTCTAGTTTTAGTTTGGTTGCTATGGTTCCCGGCATCTACCTGTTTAGCTGGAAGGAGCCTTTGAACAATTTCATGACTACAGCCGACTGACGTACAATAATTTTTTTCCTCTGTAGTTTGGTCTAAGGCTGCAACAATATGGAAACCTCTAATCAGAGCCCTGAGCAATAGCAAGAGGTCTGTGTGGCTTTCCTTTCAAAGGAAAAAAGTCATAAGGGAGTAATGCATGGTTCTGACAGAAAAGGGAAACAAATTCCACATGACAGAGAAGTTGTACAAATTACATTTACTGCATTTGCCACATGATGTTATCTTTCATACTTAGGATTTTAAGAGCTGCCCTGGGAAACCTAACCTTCCAGGGATACCTAGAGACACACACAGACAACTTTGAACTCCCTTTTAATAGAAACTGCATACTTTGCAATTAAGCATCTTAATACTAATAAGGATATGGTTCTTAAATGCCACTTATATAGTGTATTATGAAAGAGAAGAAGATCATTGGGGTTGTTGGCTGTCACTTGGTGGAGACCACTTTGGAAGCTGCTATTCTAAACTTCTGCAACTCTAATGGGTAAACCTGTATTATCTTCCTCTGCAGCTAGGAGTGGGTCTGAGGAAGAACAGAAGGGTTCATCAAGTGCAGCTATTTGAAATAAACACTTCTCGCATGAATCGACCTAAATTAGAACTTCATACGTATTAGGTAACAGAATAAATAATTTATGGTAAAACTTGAACTCAAGTGAAAATGGGCTGTTTATTTACTTGCCCTTGTTGGAGAAATAACGCTAATGTTGCTTTCTCATCAGCAGTGTTGCAAGCCACGGTAGCCGATGTGAAAAAAATCATCGATGCCTCCTTCAGTTCACTTTCCTTAGCACCTGCCTGCCAATGGGCTGTGCTGAAATAATTGTACACTAGAAAAACGTTTTTACTCTTGGTAAGCTTGTTCACCTTCTGCATTTGGTATAACATACAAGCACCCTTCTCCCTGAATGGCAATTTCCACAGCTGTGCATCCAACCCTGAGCACACCTCAGGGGCTAAATGAGATCACTGACCACTACAGAGGCATGGCGGGTGGTGCATGAGAGACGCTTGGCACACAGTAAATAACTAATCAATTTCCCCTTGAATTGTTTTGTAATTTGTTATTGAACATACTTCTTTTGCCCAGTGTAAAAAAAAATTTTGTTTTTGTATTGCCTGTAGCCATACAACACATGAGCATCTTTCTTCTGCCCATGGAAGCTGTTGGTAACCAGGACTAACCAATTTGTTCTGGGCCAAAGATCAAGGACATACTTATAGAAAAGGGGCAGAGTCTGGATATTTTGGGGTCATCTACACTGATGTGTTTAAAGTATTTTTCTTAATCTATAATAGCTTGAGATGTTACCAGCTAAATTAATTAAAATTTTTATCTCCATTAAGCATATGGGCAAAATTGGCAGAAAAAAGTTATTATTTGCCAGATAGAATGAGAACACTGCTTACAAATGGACAGTCACACACAACTGTTTCTCTTTGTAGTCCAGTAGAATTAGTCATTTTCTCTTTTCCATCTCTAACTTGATTGTCTCAGAATTTGAACTCGGTGGAGTCGCCGAATTCCACTGTCCTATACTGTAATCGTATTTTCTCCCATAGGAAGGTCTGAGGCTACCAAAGTAGAATGGAACCCCATCAGTTGGCCTGTTGGTTGTGAAAGACCCTATCAAAGTTAGGTCAGATACCTGCTGCTCAGTTGGAGAAAGGCAACCCATGGTTTTAAAGTCCGGCTTGCCCTCCATGCCCACCCAGCTTGATGCACCCACCCATCAGCACTCACAAAGCAAGGCCTGCGTGGTGCCCACTGAGGGCTGCCTGGTGGACAGCCTCATGTTCCCCACAGCCTAGCATCTGACACGCGCTGTGCCTACCCCAGTTCTAAGGTCCCAAGCAGCTGAAGCTGTTCTTCCTACCATGCCTATTCCGAGAACTCGCACCCATCCAGGGTTTACAAAAACTGGCCCGTTTTCCTGAGCTTTCAATCCCAATGCCACACGCATGCTGTGGCCACTCCAACTTTTATTCTGAAGATTTAGGATGATTGTCTGTATTCTCCTTCAGTCTTCCCCCTGAGAATAGGAGGAATAGGGAATTTCAAGTGGTGGTCAGCGACCCTGGAGTGCAGAGGCCCAAGAAGGCTGTGGTCACTGGGGAGGGCGGGGGCTGCAAACTGCAGGTCTGTTAATGAGACATGCTGTCCCTCACCGACCTTCCAGCATAACGTTAGCTGTGATTTTAATAAAAGGATGCTATAAATGAGTTTTCTCCTAGCAAGAGACAACACTCGGCATACAGGAGACTTGAACAAGAAAGGGAGGACAATAGAGAAAATCAACATATAAGCATGAACAGCTGAAACAACAGCTGAATCGTAGGCCTATGACTGAAGAACATCCTGCCAGCTATTGGTGGAATCCTCCGAGGCCAGTGCTGAAAGGGTCATTGATTCTCTCTGAACACCCACGCTCACCTGGGTCTCCGACCAGGATGTGTGATGAGCCCAAGTTTCTAAGTTTTACACAGACTCCAGGGCGGCAGCTCTTTACCACTTCCCTCCCTTGGGCATCACCTTTTCATCTGACACCAGCTGCTCACCTGGGGAGCAGGCTGAGGACAGCCGCCTCTTCCCCAGGACTTGGACCAGAGCTGTCTGCTCTACCTGCTTGGTCCTCCCACAAATTGATGTGGTGCAGGGAATGGTTGCTCTGTATTGTCGCCCTCCCTAAAGTTGAACATTGAGGCTAAAAAGCTCTGGGATCTACCTTCCCAGGAGTATATGCCCAAACCTCCACACGACTCCAAATGAGGTATGTAGGGTTCAGCCCTTCAAAGTTCCCCAAACAGAAACCTCAGTTCAAACATGTCTTCCTCCCATTACTGCTTTTGGAGGCTTCTCCGTTCTCTCTTCTAAACCTGGTGGAGTCAAGTGGCTGTTTGTGAAGAGGTAGCAGGAGGCAGAGTTCTTATTCCAGGAGGTTGTCCCTTCTAGTACCTCCTTGCCTAAGGACTGACGACATTTTCCTGCTGGAATATCCCAGTAAGTGCATCTACAAAAAGGAGGCTGAGGTGTGTCACTGAGCCTTGGACACCCACGTTCAGACACCGGATCTTGAAGGCTGGCATCATCACTGCTGTGCAAGGGGGCTCTGCCTTGACAAACTACATTAAGATCAGGTGAAGTTTACTTTTTCTTTTGTTCATATACTACCACCACGTCCCTAAATACCACATTATGAGGATCTTAGGACCTTCTCTCCTATTGCTTTTTTCTGGGGTCTTACATCATCCACAGGCTACTGCCCACACATAAAACATCACTCACCTGAGACAGCCACCTCTTCCAGCTCACTGGAACGTTTTCCTATTTTTCCCTCCTGAGAAGCCCTGACCAGCACATCCCCGAAGGCTTGGAAAGATGTGGAGCAGCTGAGGGGTGGAGTGCGGAGCTCCATCCAGCACTTACCTTTTTATCCAGCTGGCCACACAGCCTCGCTTCTAAGACTCTTAGACCTGTTCCCAGTCTCCAGCCACTCCCCCCAGGTGTAGCATGTTCAGGCTCTCCGTAAGCCTGTAGGTTGTGAAGGAACTGTGGCTTCCTTCCAAATTGGGTAAAGGTGAGGGAGGTGGTCACAATTAGCCTCTGATGATAGGCAGTGCACTCAACACAAGAGATAGCCATCATCTGGTTTGGTCTTCAACAATCCTGGGGATAGGGTCCATTATTTTGCCCAGAGACGTTTGGAAACCCCCACCCTCACCCCCGTGTACACAGGTAAAGAGAATGCAGGTGAGCACTAGAACCCAAGTCTCTTTAATCCCAAAGTCCACAGTATTAATCAGTTATTCTGGTTAATTCTGCAACAGCTACAGCTGGTGATTTTAAATAAAACATTGAATAGAATTAGTATCAGTGATGGAATATTTGTCTTTCAGGAGTTAAATCTAGTTCTGCCATAGAAATAAAAACTGGGATTATGAAATATTGAGACTCATTTTAAAAATAGAATTTACACAACCAAATGGATTAAAAGCACATTGTTTAAAGCATTTTTTTTAGTTTACTATTTATGTACCATCAATGGCTGTGTACAATAAAATTAGTCCCACAAAATTACAGCCACACCTTGTATTTTTGGTAAACTTAATTGGTTACTTAGGTTAAAATATTAAAGGGATTAAAATCAAAGTGGGACAACACAAAAGCTTTTTTCAAATGTGTGAAAAGTATAACTGCAAATCACGAGAGCATAATTAGCAGATGCTGTATAAACTGGGACTAACATATTAGTTCTACCCTCTCTGTCCCTTAATGGTTGAGTCTCAAATGAGTCTCTGAAAGCTGACATGTTAAAGTCAGAAAACTTACTATATAACAGCACCCCGTGGGGAATCATTTTGTATCACCTGATTTTACACTGTAGTCTCTCATTTCCAAGATCTAGTGCCACCTTAAGCTGCATGCCAAACTGGAACTATACCTTACAATTGATGTCAAAAGAAACTAGCCAACCATTTCCTCCCGAGAAACTGTAATTAACAGTGAATCTTATGGATGTTCAAAGGCCACAATTTTTATTTTACAAAGACATCTTCAGAAGCATTAAAACTATTCTTCAGAGAATGCCATCTTGCTAAATATAATTGAAGTCTGGGTAATGGCTATGCTCAGAGGCTCACTTAATCTTTTTCAACAAGCCATTTAATCAATTATATGGTTTTCTTTTCTTTCTTTTTTTTTTTTTAAATACTGATTCCTGAGCTCAAAATTCAGTTCTGGAATGGGCCCAGAAAATTGCATTTCTTTTTTTTTGTTTGTTTTTTATAAAGATTTTATTGGGGAATTGGGGAGGGGAACAGCGTTGGGGAATTGGGGAAGGGGAACAGACAAGTTGCTGTCCTTTTGATCTTCTGTCTAGTTGTGGAGGACATCACTTCGCTGGCCCATGATGGTATTATGATCATTGCGCTCTTCCTGGGTGAGGCAGTCACTTGCCAGCCATTGGACAGCCCCTCATGGCGGCTCACAGCAGCACACACTGGCTGCCAGTCGCTCACACTGGCTGCCAGCCAGCCACTCACGGTAGCTCATGCCAGCCCACTGCAGCAGGGGCTGCAACCTACGCTGTCGCCGGTGACACGACAGCCCAGCTCCAGGTTGAGCTGTTGTTCAGCATCTTAGCTGTAGAGGGCAGTGTCACTGGCCCTTATGTGGGATCCGAACTGGGGCCCTGCTGCTCAGAGCTGGCGTCCCAAGCCAACTCTTAACCAACGAGCCACTCAGCCGGCCCTGTGGTTTTCTTTTTAATTTCAAATTTTCATTTCTATTATAGGAATATAAATATCACTAAGAAGGGATTACAGGAGAGGAGTGGGGAGAAAAGTATCCTCTGGACCTAAAAAAATCTGGTAAATTACTTCTAAGATCTGATGAAAGGTCCCGGTGGCTGCTGGGAGGTGAGTTCGGAGAGGTGAGAAGCCGCAGCAGTGCAGTAAGGCTCCCACAAGCTCCACTAGGACAAAGTGCTGCCAGCACAGTGGGGGCCAACCGAAACCCTGGGGATCTTGCTGAGGCCGCCTGCAAAGCAGGACAACAAACAGCTGGAGCTAGCCTTATCTGAAAGCAGAGGACCTGACTGCTGAGGCCTTCCTTCTCCCAACCAGCTCCTGGTGGGAAGCAGCGGATGCTCCAAGAAAGAGGAGGCATGGAGTACTGAGGATGCACTCTCGACCCTTGTAAGTTGAAATTCCTTCCTGGTCCCAAACATGATGCAGGGAAAAATTTCTTTGAAAATAATAAAAGAATGTTCAGAGGCCAGGCCTTTTGACTTGCTGGTAGGCTAAAAGTGCATTTTAAAACCTCAGCCAGAAAAAGATGGCTGCGCTCCCTACCCTTATATCCTGGCAGGCTGGTGGCCACATCGCTGAGTTCCCTGTTTCCTGGAATTCAGGGGCTAGAGCCCTGCTATTTCCATGTCCTATGGGCACTCCAGTCAGCAACAAGGAAACAAGGCCCTTCCTAAGCCCAGGGCTCCCGTCAGAGGTCAAGAGCCAGCCAAGGGCGAGCAGGGCTTCAGACCACAAGGGTAACCTTTAGTAATGGAGATGGTGGTGGCATCACAGGTGCTTCCTTTATTTCGTTAGGAAATGTTTTATAAGAATAACCTAAAAGTTTCCTAAAGCAGGTTCTATGTGTGGTGGAAATGTTATTGATTTTCCTAGTATGCTATAGTTAGATTCAAGTAAAAAACAATTAATAAGCTCCCTTTCATCAATCATGAAATGGAGTGAGGGTAGGGGGGAAGTCTCTTGACCATCAGAACTACAGCCTAGGACCCCAAACAAGGATGTCCATTTTGGGGACAGTCCTGTTTGAAAGTTTGCATTTGAGATGTTCACATTTGCCATTTTGTATTTAATTTTATCATCAAAATCTAGTTCTAATCCTGGCTCTCCTACAAAATTTCTGGTAACCTTTGGCACATAACTTCAGGTCTTTGTTAATGAGTCCATTGGGCCCTCTGGGTTTCTGAGTCTTTCCAGCCTCAAAATTCTATCCTGGAAGAAACTTTCTCAAGCCAATGATTAAAAGAAGCTTATGTTACACTATTTCTCTTTGTTGGCAAAGAAGAAACAGATGTTCCCCCAAATTGTTTTCTGTGCCCTTAGTATTGCTTTACTGGTAAGAAGTCTGAGCGACAGCTGCAGGCAGGTCACACATGAACACCTCCTGCCATGCCTTCCCCGCTGCTGCACTTAAAAAAGCAGAAACGGGCTAAAGATTATGGGACATAGTTTTGGCCTAAGTTCTCAACCTTTACTTTTGGTAAGCATTTAAGCATATTATCATTTTAAATTAAACATGTTTATTTCAATTCAAATTTTCACAGATTAAAAGATTGCATTTTAATTAGGGTCAATTTATAGGCAATTTGCAGTAATGATTTCTCATGAAAAAAAAAAGAGAGACAGACAATAATCATTCAGATTTCAGATGTGAGTGAAACCTCTTCCTGGGAGCCAAAAACATGGGGATATAGACCCACCAGCCAGCAGCAGCATCTTGAAGGTGAGCTGAATACAGACACGACACTGGTATCACGTCCAGGATGGAGGGTAAGGCTTGGAGCTGCAGGGAGCAAATGTTCTCCTAAGGCGCGATGCAGTCCTGCTCCCAACTGTACGTCACCCACACACCATCGACGTGTCGAAGGCTCACACCCTCCCGTGTGGCCGTGATGACTCACAGCCTGCTCTCGGAGAAAGTGCCTTCCCTTCTACAAGTGACTAAATTCAGGCAACGCTTTACAAAAATGGCAAGGTTCAAAAGACATGTTTGCTCCAAGGCACCAAGGGTATAAAGCTTTTTAGAAAATACGCAGAACGGGGCCGGCTGAGTGGCTCAGTTGGTTAAGAGCTCGCTCAAGAGTTTGAGCTCTGAGCAACAGCAGTTCGAGTCCCGGCCTGAGCTGAGCAGCCGCTGAGCTGCCAACAGGTGGCAGGATGGCTCAGCTAAAAAAAAAAAATAGTAATACGCAGAACTGCACAGACTACAAAAGGGAATCAGTTCTCAATGGAGGACTCTACTATGTGTAAATCATTACTTCAGATTACAATCATACAGACTGTGCTGTGTGAGGGAACGTCTGACCCGAGAGCATTCCCGCGGGCACTTGGGCAGCTGCTGGTACAAGCTTACAGTTTGCTTCCCGGAGCCAGAGAAGCTGTGCATCATTTGTACTTGTAAAATCCTTCCCCAGTCTTCTTGCCAAGCTTCTTCTCTGCCACCAGCTTATTCATGGTTGGGCTGGGCTGAAACAAGGGGTTCTGTGCATCTAACTCATGCCACCCTATTGAGAGGAGAGAAAAGGGCTTAGGAGGACGTGCTGGCTTTATTTTTATATCTTGGCATTCCCAGGACAAGTCTAGAGCAGAGCATGGGAGAATGGTCCCTATTCCTAATGGGGGAGCCCCTCAGGCGTGGTGCCCCTAGGGCCAACTCGCAGAGACAGAGGAAGGCTGAGCAGGTGCAGCCCCAGGGGCCCTAAAGCAGGCAGCACGTGCTCCCCCACCCCCACATCCATCCTGTTTATCCAAAGTCTTCCTGAAATCAGGGGTTTATCTGCAGCTGGACCCTCATCGACACAATGTTCAGAACACATCAACAATCTGAATTTGCTGCCACTGGTATTTTGCATCCTCTTAAAATCCCAAAGTTCATGCTTCAAGTAGAACCCTCCCTGTTCCTCCCAAATACCTAAGTATTCTTTGTGAAATGCGGTATTATGAGCTACATTCAACTTCAGCAGTCCAATACTAATCATTACTTTTACTTCAAAGCCACTATGGTAAAATGGACACATTTTAAAAAATGGTTGTATATCTTGATTGCAGTGGAGGTTACACAAATCAGAGTATGTGAGAGAATGACACAATGTATCAATGTCCATTTCCTGGTTTTCATATTGTACTGTGGTTATGTAAGATGGAACCATTGGGTGATACTGGGAAAAGGGGTAAATAGGACCTGTTTTATATTTGAAACTGCCTGTCAATTTACAATTATTTCAAAATGAAAACTAAAAAAAAAAAAGTTACCCTGTGAGGACACACTAGGCAGTCACATTTTTCCTTCTCCTACCATCTACTGGGTCGTCGGGAAAGTCATGACGCATTTTTGCATTGAAAAACATAGAAAAATACGTCATGATTTTCCCAGTGACCCAATATTAACTCTAATCTTTAAGCTGGTAGGGTCAGGACTTTGGAAGGTCTACTAAGACCCATTATAATTTCTGTTTTAAATTGGCATTATAATTCGCAGTTGAGAGAGACTACCTTAACTCAATTAGAGAAAGACAACAGAATTCCAATTCCTACCATCCATGATGAACTTCGTAGTATCCAGCCCAACATAATCGAGAAGCTCAAATGGCCCCATAGGGTATCCAGCTCCCAATTTCATAGCTATGTCGATGTCTTCCTTGGACGCATCACCTAAGAAAAAGAGGGCAGCCCTGAGTCACCACCATCTTTCCCACAATTCTCCTTGTCATGCCATTAGTTCCAGTGTTACTAGAGTTTTACATATTTGCACATTCAAAACGCACCCGGAGTCAGAATTTCAAGCTTAGGTAAGATTTTTGTCTCCAAGGTACATGCCAAATAGGTCTCAAGATTTTCAAAACTATTCCACCAAGCTATTCTTTTTTTCCCTTTTTCAAGATTCTACTGGGGAATTGGGGAAGAGGAACATTGCTGGGGAATTGGGGAAGGAGAACAGCCAAGCTGCTGTCCTTTAGTCCCAGCTGTGGAGTGCGCAGCTAGCTCAGCTCCAAGTCCAGCCGCCATCCGACTGTCCGTTGGCAGCTCACGGCTGCTCAGCTCTAGGTGCCTTGTTCAATCTTAGTTGTGGGTGGGCACAGCCCACCATCCCATGCAGGAGTCAAACCCGCAACCTTGTTGTTAGGAGCACGTGCTCTCCCGAGCTGAGCCATCCTGCCACCTGCCGGCAGCCCAGCGGCAGTACAGCACGGGCACAGCTCACCAGCCCATGTGGGAATTGAACCAGCGACCCTGTTGCTCAGAGCTCACGCTCACAACCAACTGAGCTACTCGGCCGGCTGCCAAGCTACTCTGTGAGGTGAATTCTAGAGCATTGCTACCTCGTTATAATGCAGAGAGAAGGCCCCAGTGGCCTGGAAACATTCATTACTTTCTGATGGGCTGGGATTTTCCAACGCTGGAATAATTTACTAAAATATCATTTAAAACTAGAGCAGATTTTTGATTGATAAATGGACTTTAAAAAAAAAGAAAAGAGGGCTGGCCGAGTGGTGTGATGGTTAAGAACTGGCTTGGGACGCCAGAGGGCCCCCAGTTCGGATCCCACATATGAGGGCCAGTGACACTGCCCTCTACAGCTAAGATGCTGAACAACAGCTCAACCTGGAGCTGGGCCACTGTGAGTCGCCGGCGACAGCGTAGGCTGCAGCCCCTGTGGCAGTGGGTTGCCATGGGCTACCAGCCAGCAGCCAGCGTGAGTGGCCAGCAGCCGCAGTGAGCGGCCATCCAAAAGCCGGTGACTGATCTGCCTCGCCCGGGAAGAGCGCAATGATGGTGCCAACTTGGGCCAGTGAAGCAACGTCCTCCACAACTAGACTGAAGAACAAAATGACAGCAACTTGTCTGTTCCCCTTCCCCCAATTCCCCAGCACTGTTCTCATCCCAATTCCCCAATTAAAAAAAAAAAAAAGAAAAGAAGTTTAAGTTTGTTTCTGTATATACTGTATATATATTTTTCTTTTTCAGCCTTCTTGGTTTTACAAGTAATGAATATTCCTCTAGAATCACATTCGCATAAAAACTTTAGTCAAGATAATGTTCAAAGAAAAGCCTAAACCTGATTTAGAATTGTCGTGCAAGTCTGGAAATGTGTTGAATAGCCTAAGACGAGGGCCAATAAGCTTTTTCCTTGGAATTTTATCCTTAACATATTGTCCTTGGGCCTAAGGGGTCTTTAGGGAGAATGATCTGTCTCCTTTCTCCAAAATCAGGAACAGGATAAGTCTCCTACAAGTGGCTATCCCCAATTTTGTTCCAAAGCATGAAGCAATGGCCAATTATAACAAAAGTAAGTAAAAGAAAAAATGATAACATACTCAAAGAACATTTCGTACCTAAATATTTCAGATTTTTAGGCATGAGGAACTACTTAAATGTCTATAAAGACTGTGTTTTTAAAAGGCATATTAAATACCAAACTAATGTCAAAGGATTTCCAGGCAGTTCAAGGTGATTAAAATACCAGTCAATTATTTCTTATGGGTTACATTATTGATACTCCACTATCGATCAGCCAGAGGATCCTGAGAATCATGATTTGCATTTCAGGCCATAAGAAAGCAAGGGGAGCAAAAATGATCATATACATTAGCCTTCTCAGGTGGCCTCATTCATTCAGTCAACCTATATTTTTATCTGCTATGTACCAGGCAGCAGAGACTTAGAATGAGACAAAGAAAAATAAGACAAGCACTTGAGTATTCATGGTACAATGGGAGGACTCAGATGTATAAACCCACATTTTCATTATAACAAGCGCTGAAGATTCATGAACATTCACGCAGCTCTGGGTGGGCAAAGATAGAGAGTAACACTGCCATGACTTCACCAAAACCACCACTCAGGCCCAGATCTTGACTGTCCTGAGGAGAATCCAGAGGGAAGGGGGGACAGGGAAGGGCATTTCAGGCAGAGGGAACAGCGTGTGCAAAGGCAGGGATAAGAAAGAACATGGCAGCTGATAAGTGAATTCTGCTCAGAGGATTTCATTAAGCCCTGAGGCTTCTGTGGTATCAGACCTGGAATACTGGAATGACAGCCTAACACACTCCTCTGGCTCAGCTCGAGCTGTTCACTATGCCTGGTGTCCAATGTCCTCAGACATCTGCAGGCCTCTGCTCAGGTGTCACTGCATCAAAGCAGCCCCGCCCGCTCCATGCATATAAACTAGCAACTGTCTGTCAGGATTCTGCCATCCTCTTGACTTGATCTTTCTCGAAGATTACTGGTCATAACCTGACATTTCTGTCCCTGGGGACAGACATCTCATAGCATAATGGTTCCAACTTACCTAAAGCCATTTAATCAAACCTATATTCAAGGACAGGCAATGAACCCTAGAAGCAAAACTGTAATTCCAGATTCAAAGATTCATTCACTTGACTATTTTGTTTCAAAAAATATGAAAACACAGCATATCATTAAAAAAATGTAAAGAGTTTTACAAAGTCAGCACAACTCTGAGTAACACAGAGCCAAAGAGGCAAAAAGAAAAGAGAAATAAAATACACATACACAGACTGGTGTGCCAAGTGGGTGTTAAGTGTATCATGTATTAGACCAATAATTCTTAACCTTCGTTATGGTCAAAACACTTCACTGAGAATCTGACACCCTTTCCAAAGAAATATACGTACACACAAAGAAACGTATGTACACACCTTAGGAGGTTCATGGGTCCCTCCTCCCCAGTTGAGAGCCCTTAACTCCAAACACAAGGAAAAGCTTCCTCAGTGAACTCCCAGGTCCTCTGCAGCCTGGGAACCTAGGCCTGGCCCCCGGTTTGTTCTGCTGGCTCATCAGCACCACCTTCCAGCCATTCTTGGCATCAACAACCAGCATCACAGCAGCCACTATTCCTTTATTTTGCGAGAGCAGCCTCAGTGCCTGTCCTATACAGGCACTTTGTGGGGTATGAAGGTGAGGACCTGGAAACTGCCCGAGAAAAGAGTACAGGTGAAGACACCAGCCATGCCTCAGGAAAGAGGCTGGCAGCTGCCCAAGGGAGAGCCAAAGTGTAAAGAGAGCTATGATAACATAGATGGCAGCTCTGGGGACACTCCAGAGGGACACTCCTTGTGAGAAAGGTGAGGGTAAGGTATGTGGTGATGACAGCAGGGGCAGAGGGCAAAGAAAAAGGAAGTCCTCTGGCAAGGACTGTATTTGGTAGGTGACAACAGAACCACTGAATATGTCTCCAGCAGGGGAGTGAGTGTGAGCAGGATGTCACACCAGGACTGGGGGTCAGGCTCATGGCACTCCCAAAGTGTCACCTTAGAAAGCTAACCATGTGGCCCCATCACCTTGCCAGAGCTAACTATGACCTGTCAAAAGTGGCGTCTGATGGGGGCAGCGGTCTGTGCCTGGGCACCAGCCTGCTCAAAGGTCTGGAGCGAGCTCTGACCCACAGGGATGAGGGTGACCAGGCACCAATCACGCCTTAATTAGAGTGGGAGTGAATGAGAGCAACAGAGTGAGGACAGAGGCTGAAGGACACTGGGAAAGAAGGGCCAACACAGAAGCCACGAGGCCCAGAGCATCAGACCGCAGAGGTGCGGTGCGGTGAAGTGCCACGAGGTACCATGGGGAGTGGTCGCGAAGCTCCGGCGGTGGCCTGTGATGTTCTGCACACCATTCGGCTGCCCAGGAGGCCTGCGTGGATAATGACCAGGAAGACTGTGCTCTAACGCCCCACACATTGTCCTGATGAGCCTCCACCACTCAAAGCAGCATCCTACCAGCCTGGCTGCAGGGAGAACTCACACTGCAGGTGTATCAGCAGTGTTTGTTAGGGACTGAAAGTTTGTGTACAGATTCATGTGTTGAAACCCTGACTTGTGCAATGCAATGGCATGAGGAGGTGGGGCCTTGGGAGGTGATTAGGGTTAGATAAGTCATGAGTGGAGCCCCATGAATGGGATGAGAGGCCTTGTAAGAGTCACGGAAGAGCTTGTTTCTTCTCTGCGCTAAGCCACGTGAGAACATGCGAAGACGGCAGCCTGCAACTGGAAGAGAACCCAGATCCCAGAACCCAGCTGTGCTGGCACCCTGACCTTGGACTTCCAGCCTCCAGAGCTGTGACATGTAAACTTCTGTTACATAAGCCACCCCGTCACTCTGTGGTACTTTTGTTGTAGCAGCCCCAGAATAGGCTGACCAAGACAGTGTTGTACAGAGTTATCCTCAAATGAGTTCAGAAAAGGCTAGGCTGATCAGTCAGAGTGTCTTCACCAAACGACCCTGCTGCTGGACGCAGGGCTCCCCCAGCTGTGTGGGGGCAGACATAGCACGCACTGCCTCCTCACCCTTCAGGACAACGTGGCAGTCTGGAAGAGACATGAGGTAACGTGAATTCCTTCGCTGCCTGAGGAAGCCTCACTGAGACAGGCTGACTGGCACAGGGGTGGCTGGCCTGACACAGGGGAACCAAAAGTGACAAATGAGCACATGTGGCAGACAAGAAAGGGATGATTCAAACTGGCTTCAGGTTTCAAAGCAGACTGGGTGCGGGGCAGCCAGCCACTCAAGTGCAGGCAAAGGGAGACAGGGTGGCAGGTGTGCATCTAAGCACCCCTCTGTGTTGGTGAAAGAGGGCAGGACCTTGGGGTGGCAGGAGGAACGTGGTAAGAAGCCTGAGGTGTGTCATAAGGAGTCCAGACCGTAGTGTGACTTGCTGGGAGAAGGCACCCACCCCAAACATGACACCCAGGTCCTCCAAAGCACGTGCTCTGGCTTGCAGGCCCCAAGGAGGCTGTGGGGAAAGAGGCAAAAGGACAGCAATGACAAGGTGCTGAGGACAGCACCAAAGGCAAACTAAGAGCACCTCCCCTGTGGGGTCAGATCCCCCATCCAGCGTCACCTCCCAGGAGACTACTGATGATGAGGGTCAAAAGGAATCCATCTATTCAGAAAGGGACCGTTGTTGGTGGGAGGGGACAGAAGACAAGAAAATGGCTTCAACTTACAATCAGGTACATGGTACATTTGAAAATATATCAGAGTGACAGTATGTTCCAGTGAGAAAAATACCATTAGGAGGTGGATCACCCACATGCTATATTCTACCACATTACAATAAAAAACCCAACCCTGCCTTTCAAGGCAGGGCAAAACACTTCCCGCTTTCTTTGAGGTGTAATTAGGCATAACTGTTGATAGATAAACACAGAAGTGTTGGTTTGATCTTGGAGCAAAAGTGAGGCAAATGCTTCCATGAATCAGAGAAAAGTTTTCATATTTAAAGCAGATTTTGAGGAAGCAAACGTGCTTTCATCTCTCTGGAAGAGCTGGTATAAACGTTTGGTTTTAAAAATGACATTCTCAGGAGCAAGCATTTGCGAAGTAATTGAAAACAATTACACTTGCTTTTTATCCAGTCTTATTAAGGCCTATTTGCCTTTGAAGCAGACATGATTGTTACCTTTCCAGAAATGTGGTGGGGAAAGCAGGCAGGAGGATACATGACATGCTATAACCTGGACCAGGTCCCAAGTCTTATATTTCTATTAACAAGTATTCATTGAGGAGACATTTTCAGACCACTCTCTTAAGGTTAAAACAACAAAAAACACACAAAAAACATGCATCATGGCATCATCGTTCAGGCCGGACAAGGCTGCTACAAAGGGTCCTCAGCACCCTTCAGCCTTCTTATTTCTCATCACCTACCACAGTCACAATTTTAGAACCTTAAGGAACTTCGAAGGTTACCTAGCCCAGTGACTTTTACATTATTAGTGTTATTATTTTAAGCAATAAACCATTTAACCAAAAGCAGAGATCCAGGATATAAACCTGGCCTGGCCGTGTGACTGCTCTGGCTGGGAATGCAGTGGAGGGTCCCAGAGCCAGGGGCGGGTTCGCACCGCTGAATGGAAGCTGAACGGAAGCTCCTTCCCTGCTCTACACAGCCCACTCCGCCTGCAGCCCCTGCACGGACTCCCAGAGAGCGCCGAGGCCTGCCGCCCCCTCCCTCCTGGCTCAAGGCAGCTACCTCGCTCATACAGCCGGACTGCTTCCATGAGGTATGGCACCAGCAGGCGGTTCACAATGAACCCAGGCGTGTCCTGTTTTAGGAGACAGAAAAATAAAAGACAAGTGAATTTTCATTGAGCTTTATCTTTTGTGAAGCCACCAGATCGGCCTTCTCACTCTGGATTATGTGACCCATACTTATTAAGCTACACATTTTCAAAGCTTGTTTTAAAGCACAGTCTTACTTCCACCTCACATGACAATTTATCCAACAATCATAGCACTTAAAAACCAACCAACCAACCCAGATACCCCTGTTGCGTGGCTCCTGAAATAAAGGCGGATCATGGCAGGGGGGTCAGTAGAAAGAGCACAGCTTTGGGGACAGGATCCTGAAACTCAGTTTCATCTGTGAAATGGGGGCGATCATTTCTACCTGACAAGTTGTGAAGACAAATCAGCACACACGTAAAATGCTGTGTATACTGCCCTACACTCAAATAGTAACCCTTTTATTCCTCTCCTCTCTCTCATCCCTTGCCAGAATCCAGAACACTCCATCTGGAACTACCCTCACAGTGGCACTAATTCCGGGCTCCTCGAAGCCATTCCTAGGCCGCTCAGGATTTTCTCCCACTTTAGCGCATGGTGCAGAATGGTGACGGTGGGGACAGGTGCTGGCACGATCCAACAGGTGCCCTCAGAGACCGCCCGCTGGCCTTTCACGCATGCCACCCAGGACACACCACCCTGGACGACTCCTTCCATCCTTCCCCTCCCCACTGAAATGCTTCCCCCTCTTTCCTGGAGGCCTAGTGTGGGATGTGGATTCACCTTCTGGGGCTTGTGGGGCCGGCCAGGGTGGTATTTCTGTGACGCTGATTTGCATTAAGTAAACGGCGCCTCCTCTTTTAAAAACAGGCTGTGATCTCCCTGCAGGCGGAAATCCTTCCCCTGGCCTTGGGTTCCCTTTCCCCGCACACTGGAGGCACCCCACAAACACCAAATTCAAGATGACCAGCCACTGCACTTCTCTTACCGCTAACCTGACTGTGCGCGGGATATGCTGGGCAACAAAACCGCAGGACTTGTACCTCCTTTGAAACCACTCCCTACCCTCTTTCCCAGGAAAACGGCGATGCAAAGAGGAGTTTGATCAGTTTAACCAAGATTATATTAGTGAAACGATGTTGCTTTTATAACCAGGGCAAAAATGCTTTTCAACTTAAAAAAGTTTGCTGCAGAAACTCACGCTAGGGTAGCCGAGTACACGAAGCACGCCATAAACAAGGTCAGCAGTCAGAAAGCAGCCCAGGAAGAACATCTGGTCCACTTGTAACATACAGAGGGTGCCCAAAAAATGTATACATGTTTTAAGACAGGAAAAAAGCTATTACATTTATGCTGATGGTAACCATTTTGAGCACCTCTTGTAATTGCAGAAGTCAAATGTGACTTGTATTCATCTTTTGTTATCGGTGTATATTGAGTATTACAATTTTAATAGTTTTTTCCTTTCTTAAAATATGTATATACTTTTTTGGGACCCTCTGTATAGAGTTTTTATATAGAGAGAGTTAATATTGTCTGCATAAAAAGCTCATAGAGCTCACTACTCATCAAAGAAATATTCATTAGAACAAAATAGCATTTGCCAGTAAGATTATAGGGAAAGGGCTTTTTCCCCCCATTAAAATATTCAGTGCTGTTGAGGATGCAGAGACAGATACTCTCATAATATTGGTGGAATGTAAAGAAACATCCTTGAATCAAGCAATTTAATTTTATGTAATTGTACACCTTACATTCTTGATATGTATTTATTAAATATATTTACTTTATTTACTTTACTTATTATGTGCCTGATATTGTTCTAAGTACTTTACTAATATTCACTTATTCCTCATAACCCTGTAAGACAAGTACTATTATTCCCTCTAGGTGACGTAGAGAACACTGAGGCACAGAGAGGTTCAGTAACTTGCCCAAGGTTACACAGCTAATAAGTACCAGAGCCAGGATTTGAATCCAGTCAGGCTGGCTCGTGTCCATGGCCTTAACTTTTTACATCACGCTCTCCCTGTGAAGTCTCACTAGGAAGACAGACACATCCCAGGCACATTAATGTAATTGTTCTATATCAGGGGTTGGTAAACCATAATCCTGCAGGCCAAATACGGCCCCCAGCCTGATTTTATAAATAAAGTTTTACTGCCACATAGCCACACTCATCTTGGCATATATTCCTGCTACCACAGAAGGATTGAGAAGCGGCAGCAGAGACCAGGTGCCCTAAAATGTTCACTGCTGGCTCTTTACAGTAAAGCGTGTGGACCCCTATTGCCTTATCTTGTCTCGATGCCTCACCAAAAGCCTGAATAACTGACCCAGAAAGACTCCCTGGAAGCCCTAAGGTCTTGTCCAGAGTGAGTGTTCTGGACGATATAATAAGAGTAATTTTATGAGACCAAAGAGTTCCCATCCCTGCATCTGCCATGGCCACCCTGATCCAAGAACAGATCCTTATTCTAGGCGAATGAATGTTTATGCTGCTGAAGATAATCACTGGTTCGTCCCCGCACTCCCATTTCTAGCCTTCTATATGCTACACACTGATGTTCTTTCTAACATACTCCTGCTGTCTGCCACTAACACAGCATAAACTGGTAAGAAAATGCAATCATAACAACTGGTTACTAATGTAACTTTTAAAAAAACAAGATGATTTAAAAACTACAAAATTAAACAGAGAAAAAATGAATGTTAAAAAATGAGACTCCCTAATAACACGACCCCCCTGGAGTTGGGGGGACTATCATGTATTAGTCTACTCTCTTTGGCTACTGGGGTCCCCATCGACAGACGACTTACTCAGATGATTCACGAACAGCATGATTCTTTATGAATTAACACAATACTGGCAATTCAAATTTGAGAGTCTTTCAGAAAGCGAAAGTATGCTATGAAAAGTACCAAAATGATATAAAAGATTATGGTCAAAAAAGTAGGTGACATATTTATAAAAACCTCTAATGTCACTTTGTGACACACTGCCCCTTTAGAAAAACTGCCAAACCATGCAGAAATGTGATCCCTAAATTTTGGGAGAACTAAAGCAAATAGACTGAAGGTAATCAAAACAAAGCCAGTGAGAGCAAGGGGGTGGTTTTACATCTAATAACTGGATACTCTAAGAAAGGGGGAAAGGCCGAGGCATGCTCTCCATTGAAAACAAAACAACACAAAACAAAACTACAATGCAACAGCCGGCTGAGAAACAGCATCGCTGAGCCACCTAGGGTGGGGGGCTCCCCTCTCTCTCCTTATCTTCCTAACCATGTGGAGTGCTCTTACCAAAAGTGAAAGCCTGGAGTTCTGTTGGGGATACATGTGTCCATCAGGCTGTGCCTGGCACACTGGGTGCTTCTGGCTCCCTGGGGCCCAGCAGAAGCTAAAGCTGATGGGCTAACAAAATCTGTTTATGGAAACACAGCCACTCATCAACAGACAAAAAAGCCCAGACCCAGAGAAAAGCTGTGCGTGTTCAAGTCAGCCAAAGCCATGGGCCCCCGATAGATCTCAGGCTATCTGCTGTGGCCTTGGGCTTCCGTACTGGCAAACTGAGGAAGAGGCGGAGCTTGCTGTTCGCAGCCCGCGGACAGGCCTGCAGTACACGTGCCCGTCTCGTGCATCATTCTACCAGGGAAGAAGTCTACCTGGAACAAGTCAGGTTCCGAAAAAAACCACCCCCTCCCCAAGCTACCCATGCTATACCTTGCAAGAAACAGGATGCTTTCCCAGGGATTTGCTGAAGTCTATTACAGATTCAAAGGTCTTCTGGCTGGTCATTGGTGTTTTAATGATCTGGAAATGCAAAGCAGAGACAAATTATGACCAAGAGTCACCAAACAATTTCAAGAGAACGGTTCAAGGAACATTGATCAAGAGTGTCCACACAGGCAGCAAAAAGAGTTTTCGTGTCAAAATAGAAGGACCTCAAGTCAGAAACAAAATGTTTACCAAAATGTCCACTTTAAGACAGTGGAGTACCACAGAACATACAAAATCAAGGCTTAACATACAAATATAAAGTATGTGTAGGAGAGTTTTACAGGCTTTGTCACTGAGACAGGCCTGGACTCAAATCCCAACTGCACCATCCCCTGGCCCTGTGACTCTGGGCATGTTTTGTGAAACTGAAATGACCTGAAATCACTACCTATCTCAAGGAGCTGAGGTGAGAATGAGATTAGATGAGCAGGTAAGGCGTGCTCTCAGTAGGTGCTAGGTTTTGCGGGTGTTTTATTTGCTGCTGTTATTTACTTCAGGGAGGGAACCAGACATCTACAAGAGTAGGATGATTACCCTTTAAGACTTACATGCAGATAGAGGGGGAAAAGGAGCCCCAGGAAATTGAGTGATTTGGCCAAGTCACAGGTCTCTTAGCCTCTGAGACAAGTGTCTCCCCATTACTCCACCCTCTCACGCACAGACACCCCAGAGCCCAAACGCCCCGAACAAGCTCATCATAGACGAAGGCTTTCATTTCTAGCCAGCAGGGCCCATGGCTGGGGCTTGCCGCGCCGCCTGCCAGGCACTTGGGGAAGGCGCCTGCAGTCCTCCCAACCTCCTGCGAGATGCTGTGTTAGGGTATGACCGCTACCACACATACAGCGGCACACTGGGATCTACAGGAGATGGCACCCAGCACCACAGCTGGCATCAGCCCTCAGGAGATATTTAGAGGATTCACCTGTCAGGAATTAGATTTTAGCAAATGGAGAGACATCCAGGTGAATTTAAACTTAAAAAGAAAAAAATACATGTATATTTTAAATGCCAGTTAAGGAACTTCAACGAGAGTCGAAGCAAACAGGCTTGGCTTCTACATCAGACCCTTCCCATGAGTTTGGGCAAGCCAAATGAACCCTCCATGCCTTACCTCTACCCTGGGAAACGAGATAATGATACTTGCCACGTCTTCCCTATTGTAAAAGCGCCGTATGGCTTAATGAGCTAGTGTCTGTGCAAGATGAAAGGTGCTATATAAATGAAGAGAACTGTTATCATTTGTGGTTTAATGTGTTCACAGCTTGGGGTGTGGTGGGGTGTTATGACACTAAGGGAAGTGAGTGGAAACAGAAAGAAGCACCATGAAGACCGGGAAGAAATGGGCCAGACGCTGTTCTGCAGGCATCACCAATCAAACAGCAGTCCGAGAGCTGTTCAAGGAGGTGTCACAAGTCTCCATCAGAACTGTACAGATGGAACGAGGGTAAAGTTACCAGTTATGGAGTTTTTAAAATAATGTGTTGATTTAAAGAAGCCAGTGGTAAAGGTTTTTAACAGGAGGACTGCATATTCATTCATTCAATAAATAACAACATGCTACAGAAATTCTGCTTATATTCCCAAAACAGAATCCGAAAAGAAGAAATATATTGGGTCATCGGAAAAGTAATGACATATTTTTCTATGTTTTTCGTTGCAAAAATGTGTCATGACTTTTCCGACGACCCAAAATATAAAGGAGAAGACCCATTCAGACACATATGCGGAGCTAAAGTTAAAGAATAACTGAATAGAGAAGAGCACTTAGAAAACATTTTCTAGAAAATATTACATTTGCTAAGCATTAGCTGTTAACAACCAATGTGCTATATTTCCAAAGACACAGACAGACATTATCAGATAAATGTAGTCGAAAACAACATTAGAGTTTGAAGTAAATCTATAAAATGTGTCTTTATCTCCAAAACACATATGTACATGATACAGTAACTACAGAAAGTAATTAGTCCCTAAGTACTGAAATGTTGAAAATTCCATTCCTCTTCTTTGCTCTTTTCTGCATAAAAGAGGATAAATGTGTTTTTTTTCTATTCCCTGTACCCTTCCCTTTCATTCCTCAATTTCTTCAAAACAGCCTTAGGGAATGGGGTAAATTGGAAGAAGCTGAGGAGCAGTGTTAGTAGAACAGAAACATTCCTATTGCAAGACAGATCAGAGTTGTCACTTGACAGAAAACTATAGGAAAATATAGTCGTCTTTAACCTAGAAGCTACTGCTCATGCTGGGGTAGGCGAGGGGGGATACGGAGGGGGCCTGGAAGAGAAAGACCCTGAAACACTCTCCCAGGGAGCCCGCCAGGCTCTGGGGGTCTGCCCAGCTGGCTCCACGTCCCCCACACTTCGCACGACAATAACTCCTCAACCTCACAACAAATGCTACTTTAATGGTGGCTGCTCCTCAGACCCTGTCATTTGTCTTCTGTAAAAGGCAAGCTGCTACATTTCAGGCGCAGACTGTCTATTGTGACTCCATCTCCCTCGTCCCAAGTCTCCAAGCAAGCAGAAGCAGCCCCAGCAGGAGAGCTGGCGCAGTCCCAGCCATTCCCCTCATCTGCAGGTTTGTGGTCAGGAGGGTCAAGGCTATCAGGAGTTGTACCAATAGCTCTGATCACAACACCTAGAAGATGTGCCTCATCTGAGAACGACACTGAGGCCCTGATGAATGGGGCTGAATGCACCCTGGAACAGTGGATGAGGTGGTACAGTGTAAAAGCCAGGCTGTCTAGTAAGAATTCCATTTATAGCCTGGAGTAAAATGGCCTCAATGAAACAATCTGGTTAAGTGTCACTCTCCCGTCAGGGTCTCATCAAGCCAGCAGTCTTTAGTGCTGCTTTCTCTCTGCACTCACTGCCCATCAACTATGGTACAAACAAGTAAATGACATTCCACCAGGTTAACAGCCTTCCTGTACATCATGGGTGAGAACACATGGTTGTGAAGAAACAAAGCACAGGGGCCTTCCGAGGTATCAGGTGCCCTTTCTTCCTTTGGCTCTGAGAAGACGGACTATGGCCAGAGAAACACAGCACGAGGTTAACACCCCCCACCCTCCATTACAATCCATCCAGTGCACTCCCCAGCGGCAAGGCAGATGCAGCTCAGAGAGGCAGGGCTGAGCTGGCAGAGTGAGCAGACATGCACAAGCAGGTGCCTACTGACCTCCACGAGTTTCATCAAGGGCACTGGGTTGAAGAAATGGAGCCCGGCGAATCGGTCCTGTCTGGTGGTGGCATTGGCTATGCTCGTGATCTGTAAAGAGGAAGTGTTGCTGGCAAAGATTGTGTGTCTGTGGAGAGAAAAACAGTGGAGTATCGGAATGAGTCAGGACTCATTCTTTGTAAACAGTACTCTCAGGTGCAATGCACAAACAAGGTAATTGCTTCCTGCCCAGATCTGCTGTCCTGACTCCTACAGGAAGGCAGAGAAAAGACACTGAAAAGCAAAGGCAGAAATCAAGGGACCTGGCTCATTTACGTTCAAATTTTTATATTCAGTAACTTAAAAATTACGTTCCAAAGGCGTATATATTTAAACTTTGCCAATCTTTCCTTAATTTTAGATAGCCAACTTTTTCCTATCTACTTGTATTAGTTAAATTTTCATGGTATATGAGTAAAAAAAGGAGGCAGCTACTTAACCAACCTAATCACAAAATGAAACTCTAAGTGATCAAAGACTAATAAACAAAGGATGTGTCACACGCAAACAAAAAGCTTGTAAAGAAACGCCTGAATCCTCAACTATTGTAGAAACAGCAGATGATAAAAATGAACTGAGATCTTTTCCCCTCAAGCGAAAAGCTTTACTTCTCCACTGAATGGGAATTCAAATGAAAACAGAAGAAAACCACCATGGTCCAAAAGCAGTGTTAAGGCCACACAGGTAGAACTGAAGAAGGATATATGCATACACATGATAAATATAGTTCAAGGTATTCTGCTCCTAAAAAGCAGTACCACCTTCTTCTGTGCATATACAATATTACTAATTTTAAAAATCCATACTGACTTAAACCAAATTTAATTTTTTTTCTTATATTTTTAAACCAAATTTAATTTTTAAAGACCACAATGAAGTGCGGTGCCAAAAGCGTGACAGGCAAATCTTTAGACAGGCAAAGCTTCTAGGCTTTCCTATAGCGCCACCTTGTGGATGGGTACACACAAAACGGCCTGATGCTAATCAGAGAACCACAAAGGTCTGGTAACAGTACAGGGAGGGAAGCTGTCCCTCCCTGTACTGACCGGATTTGGGGGTCCGTGCTTACCACAAACCAATACTACGATCTGCCTGAAATCGTGGGCAAGTGGGAGGAGAGGCGGAGGGGAATGCGGAAGAAACAAGTAATCTGGAACAAGAGAAGAGTGAGGTGAAAGGAGAAGCCGGTGTGGCTCGGGGGCTGCCAAGAGCCTCAGGGAAATCCTTCCGTCCTCAGAGCCCTCACTTTCCAGGCACTGGAACACGTTCTCAAACAACTCCCAGGGTAGCCACTGGACAAAAGGCAGACAGAGCGGCTTTTCCATTTTTTAAAAAAGGACACCTTTAAAATTTAAAAACTCTGATTTTCAAAGCTTCTTGCTTTTGGGTCAATGAGGGAAATAAACTACTGCCCATTGCAGGACGTAGTGAGAAAAGATTGTCTGCGATAACGATGTGTGGCCGACACGAGTGTTGTTAACCCTCACACTCTGAACCACAGCCGCAGGGCCACTGCCACGTAGGGCGGTGGGAGGAGAGGCTGTTACCGTATTTTGCCCCCCCCCCCCGTCCCCTTAATGCGCACCCAAGTTTTTGTCCCAAACTTTCAGGGAAAAAATCTTTTGTTTTAATTTTTTAATTCAAACTTTTATTTGTTTACATTACAAGTTCGTCGTAAGTTCAACAAAACCGATTATCGTATTCCAGGGTATTATTTTGCCTATGGATATTGTTATTGATTTTTGGAGTTACACTTTTAACTCATAAGTATAAATAAAAGAATTAAAAGCATTTATATAGATACAGAATTAGTACTACCCATGTATAACGCGCATCCTTATTTTTCCCTCACAAATCTGGGCCAAAAAAGTGCACATGTCACGAGGTACCTTTTTATAGGGCATTTGAAGGGCAACCCATCTGCAAGAAATGAGGTGTTCTGGCTGGAGAGCACGTTTCATGCAAGGATGCAGTTACCACAGAGCCCAGCCCTGGGCCCTCACAGCACACACGTTATCAGAAGGGAAAAAATGTCTCCTCCCAACGGACCTTTCCCTCCCCCTCTCCCAATCAGTGGGGCTGGCTCTGCTCCTAAAAGCGTCTCATGTGCCTTCTTTCAACACAAACACAATGTGCTGACATAGTAAATATACAGGGTTGTCTTATCTTCCACAAAAAGTACACCCTCACATTTTCTCTGAAACAGCTGACTTTCTTGGACCAACTTTTGTTTTTCCTTTTCTGACACTCAGGTACCAAAAAACTACCTTTCTCTTAAATGTACTAACAGAAAATCCACAGCACAGGCATAATGATCATGAACAACACTTCCAAGGCTTAGTGTGGAGAAGACAAAAGGGGGTGGGGAGGACCGTAGTGGATCAGAGAGCCCATGCTTGTCTAAAGGGGAGAGGAGGGCTCGGCCCGGCTGACCGGGGGCCTCAGAAGCTTTACAGCTGCACTTCTTACACTGCCGCTAGGAAAGTCGTGTCCTCTTCCAGGATGCCACTGTTTCATCAGGGCTTCCACCCAGAATGTTATCACTGGAACGTATCTTCATCTCCTGTTATAGGCTCTAACTGTAAAGTAGCAGTAAACTATATCTCAATCAAGCTGCTTGAAATGAAAACAAGAGTGCAGAGAAGGATGGCTGATGGCCAGAAGCAGTCATATCTGTGGCATGCAATGGCATCACTGCCTCTATTTTACAGATCGCCAGGAAAATTAGTCTTAGAGAGTTAGAACTGGGATTGTCTGGGAAACTATTTATCTCGAACCCCTCAACTCCAATTACAGATGATAAAACTGAGGGCCAGAAAGGCTGATTCATGAAGGTCTACGGTCAGAGAGGGACGTAGTGGGGGCTGGCCACAGGCTCCAGGCCACCCAAGTCTCCCTATAGTCCTTCTGTTACTCGGTGCTAACACAGAGGGCAGTCAGACCTGTCACTATCACTAGAGAATGCCAACATTTCAATAAAGGCCAAACTGTGTGGCTACCCTCCCTTTCCTGGGGTGGGTGTCTGCTTATCTTAGAGGGCTCCCTGCTGCCTTGGGAGCCAGCACCCCTACCTGGAGAGACTTGGGTTTCTGCCAGATGTTTCTGCAGCCCCTAAATACCAGTGTACAGAGGATGAGCACAGAGATCAGCAGAGTGACGGCCAGGTGACAGAAGGACAGGTCTCTTCTCTTTGCACAGGGCAGGGCCTCTCCAGACAGCAGGCCACAGAGCTCTGAGAGTCAACATTCCACAAGGCTGGTATTCAAGGGTCTCTCTTGAGCCACTGTTCACTGGTGGTTACCTAAGAATTACTTTTGTCATATAATCTTATTCTGATTTTCAGTTCCAACCAAGAAGGGTAAAATGCAACTAAGAAGACACAGGAGAGCGTGAATGAATCAGTCAGGTGTCACGAATGCCAAAAGCCAAGAGTCAAGCTATGATGGAAGGATGCAGATTCTGAGCACTCCAGCTGCATGTGTGCACAAGCTGGCTGACACTGCACCGAGTCCTGAGCCCCAGGCACCTGTATGCCTGACCTATATGAGGCTGGCTTGCCCTTTGCCAGGATGCCTGGTAAAAACTCAATGCTCCTTTAATGCTCCCAAGACTGTTCCAATTTAGCCCAGATAAAGCTCTAAATAGGAAAGTCCTGGGGAACTTTGTGTAGACAGAGGCATCCCCTCCCCTGACGCCATTCTGTTTGCTCCACCCAAATAAGGGGAACACATGAAGCTGCTCTGAGTTTCCTCAGTGGACACTGAAGGACATGTCCAATTCCCCTACATCCTCTGGCTTGGGAGGGCTTGTGAGCCAGATGCTGCAAGAGACAGAGGCCTGGTCCTAGATGGACCCTCATTTACTGTGGGAAAGTCCACCCTCGTTTGGGGACTAGGATCAGATCAGGGCAGCCTGGGCCTCCTGAAGCAAATTGGGAGCAGGAGGATAGTGAGAAGGGAAATAGCTTGTGGGCTATAGAAGGAGAAGTGGGCCTAGTGTCAGGAGATGCCTTCCTGGGAGCAAAGCCCGAGGTGGGGAGAGGCCTCAGACCCGGCAGAACGCCAGGGGCTACGTACTCAGCGGCAAACTTGTCCAGCCTCTTGAAGAGCTCGCTCTTCAGCTTCAGGCTCTCCACGATGGCTTCCACCACCAGGTCCGTGCTGTGGACTACAGACGCCGCGTCTGTGCTGGTCGATAGGCTGCTCAGGGACTTCTCCACAAACTCCTCGCCAGCCTGTCGCAGTGGAAGGAAGGAGAATATTCACTAAGCTCACCAGAAAATGGCATGTGACTTGCTGCTAAGGCGGAAGGAAAAAGGAGGGTGAGAATAGACCTGCACACCTGAGACACAACTTGAATGCGCCCTAAAATTCTGAGAAATAAACCCCCCACATTTCTGCTCAGGGACAATGGCATCTCCATGTACTTTAGACACTGAGGCAAGAATTGGCCTGTGAACAAGCCCCACTGTTGGTCAACCATCACTGTGGTGTACAGGTTGTAATTTTCCAAGCTCTTAGCTCTGCTCTGGTTACTAAACGGTCTGTTCACAGCACCTGTATTGGCCTCCTGTGTCTGTCCCCAGGGCAACAGACTGCCATGTTCTGTTCTACGAAGCCTGTAATTGTCCTTCCAGAAAAGGGTGAAAGCTTAGCTCAGCACCACCCGCCAGTCTGGGAGGCGGTGCTGACTATTCCCCTCTCACAGGAGGTAGGGAAGAGCTGAGTAAGGGAAACAAGAAGGTAAGAAAGCCAAACTTAGTCATTCATCAAATAGTCATTACCCATCACATGCCAGCAATAGTGTTTCAAAAACAAACAGAGCCTCTGCTCTCAAAGAGCTTGCAGTCCCGTCTTTGCCTCATTTGTGACTCCAAGGCTCTACAAACAGACCTCAGTTAGGGCAGAAACAGACCAGTGCCTGTATCAACTGCCATTTGATTTCAAGGTGTAATTTGCCCATGGGGCACCATAATGGTCATAAGCAGCGAAGGCATCCCAAATCATCATGGAACAGACAACTATCAGAGCTGTTCAATAGACATATAATGTGAGATGATAGGTGATTTCAAATTTTCTATTGGTTGCATTTTAAAAAGTGAAAAGAAACAGGTAATTTTATTGAGCCCAATATATCTAATATATTATTATTGTTTCAAAATGTAATCAATATTTTAAAAATTTGGATGTTTTATATATTTTTTTCCGGTGAGTCTTTGAAATCTGGTGCCTAGTTTACACTTCCCGCATAACTCGATTTGGACGAGCCACATTTCAGGTGTTCCACAGCCACTCGTAGCTAGTGCTGCTGTGCTGGTCAGCAGGGCTAGGCAGATACGGTACTGCCAACCACGCAAGGCTGAAGCTGACAAGTCCCTCCTCAAAGCCTGTCCCAGGCAGAGGTGAGACACATCAGGGGACCAGGCTCCTGAGCAGTGACTCTTCAGGAGCTGAGCCCCGTGGGCACAGGGCCATCTATTCACAGTGGGGGGTGAGGCCGAGTCTCTGCACATCGGGGAACAATCTGCAGAGGTCTGCAGAGTAAACAAGTGAAAAATGCAGGTTATCGGATTCAGAGTCACCCTGAAAACAATCTCCATCCCTGTCCCAATGATTTTTAAAAGGTGATTAGATATTAAGAAAATGCAAACCAAAACCATGAGATACCACTTTCACACCTCCTATGATAGCTGTTATGAAAAAAATGGAAAATAGCAAGTGTTGGCCCAGATGTAGAGACACTGGAACCTTCATACATTGCTGATGGGAATGTAAAATGGTGCAGCCACTACGGAAACAGTTTGGTGATTCCTCAAAAAACTAAACAATTCCACTTTTAGGTATATAACTAAAAGAGGGACTTGAACAGACAGTACACTAATGTCCACTGCAGCATTATTCATAATAGCCAAAAGGGGAAAACAACTCAAGTGTCCATTGATAGATGAATGCATAAACAAAATGTGGTGTATGCATATAATGGAATATTATTCAGTCATAAAAAGGAATGAAGTTCATGGACAAACCTTGAAGAATTATACCAAATGAAATACATCAATCAAAAAAGGACAAATATATCTGACTTCACTTATATAAGGTCCCTAGGATAGGCAATTCAGAGAAACAGAAAGGTTAGAGGTTAACAGGGACGGGGGAGAAAGAAATGGGGAGTTATTGCTTAATGGGTACATTTCAGTTTGGAAAGATGAGAAAATTTTGGAAACAGTGGTGATGGTTGCACAATAGTGTGAACGTAATTGAAATCACCGAGTTATGCACTTAAAAATGGTTAAAATGGCAAATTTTATGTTATATATATTTTACCACATCAAAAAAAAAATTTAAAGGTAACTACACACACCTCTGTGGTTATATCAGATGAAAAACAAAAACCCTATTTGCACTCTTCTCTGCCTGTATATGGAGAGAAATTCCATTGAAGCCCCACGCAAATCAATCTTAAGCAACTTTAACAAGGTGACAAAGGTAAACAAAAATTCACTGGGGTGACTTTTGCAGTGTTTCTTATTATTTGCGAAGGGCCAATGAAAAAGAGTCATTAAACCAGAGTTCCCAACCTTATAGGAGTTCCTCAAGTTCTTGTACCTCTTCTGCTGCTATGAAGTAAGAATGGTTCACCCTATATTTTCCTCTCTAGCAAGTACATCAATAATAGGCATAAGATATGACTAAGCAATAAGAACTTTCTACCTAAACACAATATTTATTATGTCATTCTCTTTTATTTGCAAGTACAAAAAGTATCTTCCTGTTTCTCCCTCTTCCATCCTTCTAACAAAATAGGTGTCATTCAATCCCAAACTCTCAGCGGACAGAATGAGTTCACCCCCTATAGAAACTTTCTCCTCAACCCCAAATCCTACCCAACAAGATGATTATTTACTTCTTGTTTTCTAACTAGTCCCTCTGTATGTTTAGTGATTATGTTATGATATTGATCAGTTAGGAAATGAGTTTTACATAAATTGAAAAGGCAAGCAAAGGCGAGCCACCACCCCCCTCCCCTCCCCACCCGCAATGTGAAGTGGTCAGAGGACATCGATAGCAAGAAATTACCTTGGGGTTTTCTGCAAACTTCTTCTTGGACGCTTTCCTAAGGTTTTCCTCAATTCTCTTTTTGGATTTTGCCAGGAGGTCCTCTGTCTGGTCCACCAACACTACTGTGTGGCCAGTTGCTGCAGCAACCTAAAGCAAAAAAAAGAATAAATTTTTCTTTTTAGAACAGAAAGAAAATATAAAAGTTAAAAAAAAGTAAACTTTCATATTCCACATGAACTCTACCACCATTCTATTCAAAATACTGAGTAAACATAATAAGCCAACATCAACTAAACACACAGTTTTTGCTAAAAACATAGCTCTCGCCAGGCACTGTTCTAAACCCTTTACATGGATGATGACAAATTCTCAAAACTTGGGGTCTGAGCTAAGATTTTGAAGGCCACACTATAACTACTTCCTGCACTGCGCTGTTCACCATGAGAGCCACTAGGCACATGTGGCTACTGAAATTCAATGAAATTAAGTAAAATTAAAAGTTCAGCTCCTCAGCTATGCTAGCCATATTCCAAGTGCTCCACTGCCCGTTCACAGAGTGCCTACGCCCTACCCGCCATCGCCTTCTTCTCAGAACTGGAACGTCCTGTGCAGTCCATGCCTTAGCTCTGCTTTTCCATAGTCCTTAAATCACCAAGGGGTAAGACTTTACACTCTAATAACGGTGCAAAAAGACTCTTGTCCCCAAGGGGATTTTAGGGAACAGACACCCATGAGAGTAGACTTTGGTGATCAGCCAATTTGGGAGAGCAATCCTCCTCCCTTGCCCATGCCTGCCCTAGTTGAATCCCAAGGGCACCTCAGTGAAGCTGCCACAAGATTGAAGCTGGTCAATTTAGTTCAGTCACGATCAGTGACAAGTCAAGCCCTACGGGGATCAGTTTGCCCATATAACTTTGGCCAGGACTGTGGAATAGGTGCTGTGGCTAAAAATAGATCATCTGGTCACATTACAGGCAGATGTTGTAAGTCAATCAGTTCCAGCCATAAGTACAAGGACACATGTGTCCTAATGCAAACATAAGCGATGCATGAAGCCAACACTGAGATGCCCCCTCTGGGTCTCAGAAGCCCACTGCTTTAGAGCTTCTGCAGCTCAAAGGGTGAACAGGAGACGGTCAGGTCAGCTAAAATGAACCTGCCCAGAGATGACAGTAAAAAGTACAGCTGACCCTTGAACAACACAAGTTGAACTGCGCGGGTCCACTTATACGTGGATTTTTTTCAATAAATACTGCAAATGTATTTTCTCTTATAATTTTCTTAGTAACTTTCTTTTCTCTAGCTTTTGATTCTAAGGCCACAGTATATAATACATATAACATACAACATATGTGTTAATTGACTGTTTATGTTACTGGTAAGGCTTCCAGTCAACAGAAGGCTATTAAGAGTGTACTTTGGGGGGAGTCAAAAGTTATATGTGGATTTTCAACTGTGCTGAGGTCAACGTCCCTAACCCCCATGTTGTTCAAGGGTCAACTGCAGTTCTGGACCACCATCATGATGGGAGATTTCTGAAACCAGGCAACTAAATCTCAAAGCAGAAAACCAAAGAGGAAAAGAAATATTGGGTCGTCAGAAAAGTCATGACTTTTTTTTGTCTATGTTTTTCAAAGGTCATTTATTTATATAAAGAACAAAGATCAATCAATGATATATTGCCCGTTTTGTTCGATAACCTTTTGCCATCTTTCAGTAAGCTTCATAATCCCTCGTTCATAGAAGGACCTGTCTTTATTTGTGAAAAACTGAACAAGGTGCTGATTTACAGCCTCGTCTGAATTGAACGTTATACCACTCAAGGAGTTTTGAAGAGAGTGAGACAAGTGGAAGTCTGATGGCGCAAGGTCAGGCGAGTATGGTGGGCATGGCAACACATCCCATCCAAGCTCCAATCATTTTTGATGGGTAATCAAATTTGTGTGTGGTCTCGCATTGTCGCCATGGAACACAACTCCTTTACAATTAACGAGCTCTGGAAGTTTCTGGATGAATTCGTTCAAACCATCCAATTGCCGACAGTACACATTCAAATTGAGTTTGGATCCTTGGTAGGAGCTCGAAAAACACAACACCTTTAAAATCCCACCACACTGAGAGCATAACCTTCCTCTGATGAATGTCTGCTTTCGATGTCGTTTGAGGTGAATCATCACGTCGGGACTAAGACCGTTTGCGCACCACATTGTTGAAAACAATCCACTTATCACCAGTTATCAGTCGCTTCAGAAAAGGATCGTTTCCCTCAAGTTTAATGAGCATATTGCAGATGTTTATATGCACCGTCAAACGAACTTCTTTGAGTTCATGCAGAACCCAAATATCGAGCTTGCTTACATATCCCAGCTTCTTCAGGTGCTCATGAACGCTTGAATGATGGATGTTCAATGTTTCTGCAATCTCTCATGTCATGTAACATGGGTTTGACTCGATCAATGCCTTTATTTTGTCATCATCGACCTCGGTGGATCTCCTTGATCAAGGAGCGTCATTGAGATCAAAATCACCAGCATGGAATTTTGTGAACCATCGTTGGCACTGACATTCTTTTAGAGCATTGTCACCATAAACTTTATGCAACTTTTCAGAAGCTTGACGCATGTTCTTCCCTTTATGGAAGTAAAACAGTAAAATATGGCAAAAATGCAGTTTGGTCTTCCATCTTCAACTTGTTGTAAAATCTCCAAAACTCAACCAAATCGTTCAAATTTTTTTTTTTTTAGAATGAAGCTAGAACTGTCAGCTGTCAAATGACATAGCAATAACATAGTTGCAAATGACTCTAGTACTTCCAAAAATGAACTAGCGCCATCTGTTGCAAACATGCGGCATGACTTTTCCAACAACCCAATAGAAATAGAAGAGCAAAACTCAAAGGCAAAAAAGTTCAAATCCCAAAGATAGATTTCCAAAAATAGTAAGACAGGTTTTAAATGGAAGTTAAGTACAATCACTCTCCTCCCCCCACTCAGCTCTCCCCAGAAAGCTGCTCAGTGGGGTGGCAAGTCTGTGCCTATGGGATCTGGAGGCGAAATAAACCGCCAGTGCCCCCAAGTCTCCCTGGGAACAAAGGAAAGGAAGTGCTGCCAGGACCAGACAGTCTGATAACCCCAGCAAGGCAGTGGGGTGAAGGCGGAATGAGTCACCTTGGTAAAAGGACAGAGCAGGCAGTGAACTTGCCCTGTGGGCAGACACCCAGGCTGCAGGCAGGCAGCACTGTGAAAGGAAAACCACGTCCAGAAAGCAAAACACCCATCGGTCCAGATCAGGGTTCTCCCTAACTAACGACAGACAAAGGCCCATCTAACCAACACAAATGTGAACCTGACACAAATGTGAACCTCCAGTTCAATAAATTCAAAGTAAAAATGTAAGAGCAACTCTAGAAACTGTGCAGAAAAGACAACACAGCAGGCCTGAGGCTGTTATCTTTAGATAGGCCCTTGGCTGGCATCTGGAAACTCCTATCTGGGGAGGGTTCCCCGCCATTTCCTGATAAAATGGCTTGCTGCACGAGGACTGTGTGCAACATGGTTTATGCTGAACACCTGCTTCCCTTCTGGGAGTCAGGAATTTTAGTACTTACCAGACAGAGGGTGCTTGTGTGACCAGCCCCAATAAAAACCCTGGACTCTGGGTCTCGAATGAGCACCCCTGGCAGACATTTCACATGTGCTGTCACAGCTTGTTGCTGGAGGAATTAATAAGTGTATCCTGTGTGACTCCACAGGAAGAGGATTCTGGAAGCTCGCGCCTGTTCTCCCCCAGACTTTGCCCCACGCACCTTTCCCCTTTGCTGCTTTTGCTTTGAATCCTTTTTGCTGAAACAAATTACAGCTATGAGTATGTCTACAGTTATCCCTTGGTATCTGGTATCCATGGGGAGACTGGTTCCAGGGCCCGCCTCAGATACCAAAATCCACAGAGGCTCAAGTCCCTTATATAATACGACATGTTATAGTATTTACATAGAACCTACGCACATCCTCCCATACTTTATATCATCTCTAGATTACTTATAATACCTAATAATGTAAATGTAAATAGCTATTGCACTGTATTATTTAGGGATCGACTTTCTGAAATATTTTTCCTAAACGTTTTGATCTCCGGTTGTTTGAATCTGCGGATGCCCAACCTACAGATACAGAGGGTGGACTGTACAGGCTGGGTCCTGTGAGCCTTTCTAGGAAATCACCAAACCTGGTGAGAATAGGCGGGTGTGGGTGGGGAACCCTGACACACACTAGGAAAATACATCTCCAATTCCAGATGGAGCTGCTAATGACATCGAACTGCTTTGAGACAGTACTGCTGTGGAGCAACAGCTAAAGGGAGGTGTGATGACAGCTGATGGGTCACATCTTCTGCAAGGCTGGGGTAAGCAGGGGTGCTGGCTTGGGGGCCTTCCACTTTTGTTTTGGCTCTTGTGTCTGACAGTCCCCCTGGAATGACACAAGTGATTGTCACCTTGTTCCTTTTAACCTCTGACCTACATCATCCTTTAACTAGGCTGGACATCCTTCCTGATTCCTAGCTGACTAGGTCCCACTCTTCCCCACTTCACCTCCAGCAGGCATCACTCAGGCTGTTTTTGCTCCTCAAGGTGTTGGGGGAGGGGGAAATCAAGCACATATGGCACAAGATGAAGCCAAAGCTGAAGGGAACGAGACAAAAAAATAAAATGAGGGCAGTGTCCTTTTACTTTGAGGTTTTATAATCTCACTTAGAAAATATGAAAAGCAAAGAATATAAGGCTCTATACGTGGTTATGTCCAATAAAGTAAACACTGCCATGGTGAGGAATTCTATCAGGCTGCAGATCTCAGAAGGCTGAGAACAAGCAGCACCAAGAGCACACCTAACACGGGCCCGCTCCCCGACGAGCAGAGTGCTAGCCTTAGGGGGCGAACAAGCAAGGGGGGCGAGAGCACACCTTCTTTATTTTTTAGAAAGCCACTTTATAAGTTATTATAATCGTGTTTGACTGTGATAGTCACAGGGCACTTTTTTGTTGCAGATAAGCCATTATGCTGTCTGTATTATTACTGTTTTTAAAACTGTAAGCAGAACAAAACCTAGAGAGGAAGCACCCTCAAATATTCAAGTAAACCAAGAGACATGCA